AGACTAGATGGTAAACAGCACCCATCTGTACATAGCCCTCCCTGATTCCGACTGATAGACTAGATGGTAAACAGCACCCATCTGTACATAGCCCTCCCTGATTCCGACTGATAGACTAGATGGTAAACAGCACCCATCTGTACATAGCCCTCCCTGATTCCGACTGATAGACTAGATGGTAAACAGCACCCATCTGTACATAGCCCTCCCTGATTCCGACTGATAGACTAGATGGTAAACAGCACCCATCTGTACATAGCACTCCCCGATTCCGACTGATAGACTAGATGGTAAACAGCACCCATCTGTACATAGCACTCCCCGATTCCGACTGATAGACTAGATGGTAAACAGCACCCATCTGTACATAGCACTCCCTGATTCCGACTGATAGACTAGATGGTAAACAGCACCCATCTGTATATAGCACTCCCTGATTCCGACTGATAGACTAGATGGTAAACAGCACCCATCTGTACATAGCACTCCCTGATTCCGACTGATAGACTAGATGGTAAACAGCACCCACCCACTACCAACTCTTATACTGCTCATATCTAATTGAAAGTTGGATTTCACCGGCAATTTTGTAGCACACTTAAAGTGCAAAGTGTTTTTTCACAGTTAGGGCACACTATCAATAAGGATACATTTGGCTCCAGGTGGAAAATAGTAAAATATTTTGATATCACACACAAACTATTTACCATACACATACACCAGAAAGCACTTGGTAGAAGCTGAATTGCATAAGTTAATATGTCTATATATCTAATGATAGTAGATATAACTTTACTCACAAAAATATAATAAATTATTTCAGGGAATAGATATACAATTTCAAAAACATTATAATAAAAGTAATTTATGTGGATCGCAACAGACTAACACACTAACATAGAGCAAGATAAATACTGTGGTTCTAGTGCCTTCATTGTTCAGAGGAGTGCTCATTTTTTTTTGCTAACATAGAGAACAGTCAAAACCATTTCTAGGGAAAATCCTCACCCAGTCATGAGAGTTGTTTTGTAAACATGATATAAATGTTGGATTTGTATGACATACTTTGTAAGTTCTACTATCAGTCTGGTTACTGTTAGAATAAGACTGGTAAATTTCAGAGCAACTATTTATAATTGTCTGGTAATTCAACATGTAAATATATTTTCACAAAAAATTAAGCTTAAGAAATTTTTCCAAAATCAATAACCTAAGAAAACATTTGTCAAAGGGGGGGGGGGGGATTATGTTTTTACAAGATCAAAAATTATAAAACGATTAGTCAAAACCAACTTTTACTGCAGTATTGTCACAAAACTTCAAAAACACCACAATTTTCAGCAGGCATTCTATCTTCAAGTTGTCTTACAGTGCAGTGTTTACTGTAATAAAAACCTTAAAAACTGGTAACTGATATCAAAATTCGAATGAGTTAGACCTTCACTGACACAAATTACAACCAGCCATGACACGGTAAAGTGGATTACCAGAGATAAATTGTGTTTAAACAGAATTTTACAACCACAACCTTCAACAAAGTTAATTCATTAGATATATATAATATATATATATATATATATATATATATATTGCAACATTCCATGAATATTGCAAGTACTGATACAGATCTGTATATGTCACATCATATTAGAGGTAAATGATGATGCACTTATTGTACACGGTGTACACAAATGAATGGTGGGGTGTTGCGACATTGTCATTATCTCGCTACTACAATACCCAGCATTATACGCATATCCACGTTGTGACATTGCCATTATCTCCACTACTACAATACCCAGCATTATACGCATATCCATGTTGTGACATTGCCATTAGCTCGCTACTACAATACCCAGCATTATACGCATATCCATGTTGTGACATTGCCATTAGCTTGCTACTACAATACCCAGCATTATACGCATATCCACGTTGCGACATTGCCATTATCTCACTACTACAATACCCAGCATTATACGCATATCCACGTTGTGACATTGCCATTACCTCGCTACTACAATACCAAGCATTATACGCATATCCACGTTGTGACATTGCCATTATCTCGCTACTACGATACCCAGCATTATACGCATATCCACGTTGTGACATTGCCATTATCTCACTACTACAATACCCATTATCTCGCTACTACAATACCCATTATCTTACTACTACAATACCCAGCATTATACGCATATCCACGTTGTGACATTGCCATTATCTCGCTACTACAATACCCATTATCTCGCTACTACAATACCCAGCATTATACGCATATCCACGTTGTGACATTGCCATTATCTTGCTACTACAATACCCAGCATTATACGCATATCCACGTTGTGACATTGCCATTATCTCGCTACTACAATACCCAGCATTATATGCATATCACGTGGCGACATTGCCATTATCTCGCTACTACAATACCCAGCATTATACGCATATCCACGTTGTGACATTGCCATTACCTCGCTACTACAATACCCAGCATTATACGCATATCCACATATTTATATTCCCATATAGTTTTGTTAAAAGTAGTGTTTCGTGTTCTAATGAGTACCATTCAAGAAAAGGCAGCGTGTGTTCTGTGGTTAGGTAAACTGAAGTCGGTGAAGTTGGTCCAACAATAATTTAGGAGAGACTACAACAAAGATCCGTCACATGAAAACAACATACGAAGGTGGTTCAAGACCATTTGCAGGGCAGTGAATGCCAGATTCTGCGACCAATGGATCGGAAGAAATGAGCCCATTGTGTGGCCCCCAAGGAGTCCCGACCTCATGCTTCCAGACTTCTTTCCGTGGGGGCCATGTGAAGAACACTGTGTA